CCTCCCATCTCATTTTTAACAGAATATCAAAATCATTTGTGTGCCATAAAGACTTGTGCAGTGGGACAGATATGGCCTGTAGGCCTTCAGCCTGACATTTGTGGTGAAGGCGATGAGTTAGTGCCATCTGTTGGTGTTTTTTTTTTGGCACTTACAGTAGATATATTAGATTCCAATACAGTTTACATACTGTAAATATACAATGATTTACTGACAAAACTGTGACCATTATGTATTGTAAATTTATATTAATAAACAATAGTTATTAATTTATGAAGAAAGGGAAAGATAAGAAAGAAGAAAAATAAAGAAAAAATCAACTCAAAAATGCCAATGACACAACTAATAGGTGTTATTATGCAGTATGTTTGTGAAGACTGTGAGGATACATACTGTACTTTTCCCTTCATCATGGTCAGTGTGACTTGTGTGCGTCTGTGTGTGAAAGAGACAAGAAGGAGGAGCTTGGAAAGGAAAATTGATTAGTTATGCATTGTACTGTAGAAGTATCACTTTTTTGCGATACTTTCTATGTGTAAGCCTTACTAATTGCTTATTTTTTTATTGGATACTTTAAGGATAATTTGCAACATTTATACGTGTAAATAGTTTTTGCTGAATGTTTTACATTAATCAAATTAATAAACATTACCCAAACAAAGAATCTTTCATTTTCTAAAAATTAATGCCACTAGTTTCCACTTTCTTGCAACCAAATCTTGATTCTGTGTGTTAATATTGTTCTAGCATACTTCTATCACATCATGAAGTTATTTGTTACTGCATTCAAAAATGAGTGCCAGACATCTTGCTAAATATAGTTTTGGAGCTGAAAAGCCCACTGCAAGCCTTGCTGCACCTCTGTGATGAATCTGGTCTTCAAATGCAGCCGCTGAATTCAGACGCAGCCAGAGTGCATTAACTGCTGCCACTTCCTCATTTTGTGGGTATTATGCATTATTGCAGTAACAATGTGATATCAAATATGTGATTTCTTTTTTCCCATTTCAATATTTCCAAAACACGTTGTGTAGAAGTTCACTTCTATCGCATGAAAACCATGAACCAGTTTGGATGGATTTTCTACTGCATAATTTTGTCCTTCTTCACTACTGCATATTCACTCTCATTGGTTCCCCTCTCTTCTAAAACAATAACATAATCATCTTTTTGACCCTTAGAAGCACCTCTTTGCCGCTTATTCCCAGAAGCTTCCACTGTAGCAGACCTCTTCTCTGGACCTTTGGTGCCCAGCTGATGGCAGATGTTCCCATATGTTGCTTCCTCCTTTGATTCAAGTGTGTTCAGCTGATCATCTGGCCCTGAGCTCTTCCTGTCCTCCATTGTCTCTTGTTCCACCCCAAGTTTAGTTTTTCTCTTCTGGGTCACTGTAGAATCCTGGGCTCTGAAACCACATCCAGAAACATCTCGATGCTCAGGTTGCCGGGTTTTCTTCTTATCATTGGGTTCAGGCTTGACCCTCAAGACATTGACATACTGCTCCTGTTCCTCCTGGACCTCAGACTTCACATCTGTGTCTTCCAGCTCTTTTCGAGTAATAAGGTTGGCCTCAGTGCTCTGGAAGCTCCCTTGGATGATTTCTGTTTCCTCTTCGGCCCATCCACCGTGGTCAGCGCTGGCATGGTGGACGACTGGAGTGTCATTTTCACGCTGGAATTTGTTGTTTGTTGATTTCACAAAAGTGCAAATCAGAAAAAACAAATAAGATGTATGTGAAGTTTTAAAATGTGATTTTTAAACTGGTCAACTATTCAATAATTCAACAAAAACTACAATTATATGGTCGTAAGAAAACGAGACAATGGTTAATCAAATAAATATTGGTTAACAGCCTCAAAACGTAGAACAATCTACAGCAAAATAATTAATAATAATACTAATACTAATGCTATTTACTAATTAAAATACTAATGCTAAATATAAATAGTAGAGTTCCACAGTAGTGGAACTGAGATATTGATCAGGATGTCAAGCTAATTAACAGTATACATACTGTTAATTAGTATGTATACTAATTAACAGAGAATATTTAATTTAAGATTTACTGTCATCTTACAATAAAAACCTGTCAAGTATAGCTGAGTAGTTGGAAAATATATATTTTGTTTTTGAAAAGGGGATAGAGAAGTACAGTTAGGTCAGTAAGGCAGAGAAAGTGGGCAGCTGCAGACTGTGTATAACATTAGAATGTTTGTGAAAATTAAGAAACTTAATTATGATTCCACTTAAAATTTGTCATTTATAATCTGTCAGCCCATGAGAGAAACTCACCTGGTTTGTCAGTGTTAATTCTCCTGTTTCCTGTGTCTTACTGCCATGATTCTGTCTGGTGCAGCGTTTCCTTAAGAGGATGAAGTGATCAGGAATAGACTGTTAAAAGCTGTTTATTGAAGCAGGTACCTTTTCATTCAGGGAAGATTCAGGTACAGACACTCACTTGAGAATAATTGTCAGTAGGATGCAGGTGAGAATCATCCCAGCAGCCCCTGCAGCAGCGCCAATCAAAGTGGGCGGAGCTTTGACAGCTGCACAACAAACAGATGTGTGTCCATTTTATTGTATAACATCCTTCAGATTTGCTTTAAATTCACAGAAAGGTTATGACACCATGTTTCATACAACTCACAGAAATTTTACAAAATATGATCCGAATGGTCTAACACAGAACATTTACAATTACATTTGTGTGGTATAAATTTAACTTTTGAAAGAGATCCTGTTATACTATATGACAGTATTGCTGTCACCCTCAGTCACTTTGCACTGGTTACTCCTCTGCCTGCTGGCTTTGGCATAATCATGGGTTTGATAAGTATGTTTGTTTATACTTACGTTCAAATAAGGAGGAAAATCATCACAGGTGAAATTTAACATTGTCACTTAGCAGAAAGTGATATGAAGTGATACTTACATTCACAGTGGAGCTGCACAGTGCTTGAATTCTGCAGGCCGTGTTCATTCTGAGCCTGACAGTAATACTGTCCACTGACCTCAGTGATATTACAGGTGAGGGTCTGTGTGTATGAAACAACTTCAATTTCACTCCCAGTCACTTTATACCAGGTGTAATTGTTCACTGCTGGGTTGGCATCACTGCTGCAGGTTAGACTCCCGTCTTTTCCAATTAACACCGAAGTGTTTTTAGGAGAATCTGTGGGAATGTTAAAGTAACCAAGGAATATCACTTACATCAGACATAATATGCATCAGAATGAAATTCACTCAGATTATGACAACAAATCTACACAGAATTTCATAAAAATTCTCCTGTCTTTCCCAATTAAAGCTAAAGTGTGTTTAGGATTATTTGTGTCAAAGAAACCAGGGAATCCCACTTATATCAGGTGTAAAATCCATCAGAATTAAATTCAAAGGGAGATTATGACAAGAAATCTCACACAGAATTTCATAAAAATGTGATCAAAATGGACTCACACTGAACACTGAGAGTTACAGTTGTGTGGGATGTCCTCTCACTGTTATCTGCTTGGAGCCTGTAAACTGCTGTACATTTGACTTCCTGCTTATGGAGGAGATGTGAGGCAGTAAAGGTCATAACAGAAGATCCATTTTTAGTGTGATCATCATTCTCCTGAAATACAGTGACACTGTCACTCAGCCTGGGGGTCCATGACAGAGTCGGGGGGAGTGATGGACAGGGAGCTGGAGCCGAGCAGGTCAGAGTCACAGAGTCCCCCTCCCTCAGAGTCACAGAGTCCCCCTCCCTCAGAGTCACAGAGGCCCCCTCCCTCAGAGTCACAGACTTCCCCTCCTTCACCATGTCCCTGTTTATGGTGACCTGGGGGCTGGGTGGGGAGTCTGAAAGACACAGAGACAAAGAGTCACATGATTCATATCACACTGTATCACACGTGTCACACACACCTGGGGGGGGACAAGCAGCACATCAAATGCATAGTTCTGAACAGGTATTGCAAGTATTTTTATTGATTACGTTTATATTCGTCTATATTCATTTATAATCCAACATTAATCTGAAAACGAGGACACTAATTAAAATGTAAGTACATACATTTTTTAATTCATTGAAAATGAATTATACCTGGTAACCATTTTAAATCACACTTTAATAAATCTTAACACAATAAATTTTAAATGGACAATAGCAGCTGATAGAAAGACAGATACCTTTGACATCAATGTTCACATTCGCATCATAATTATACTTAAGTTTACCGGTGCCTTCAATCCTAAGGAAATAATGATCAGTCCTGTACTTCGTAATATTATACAGGACTGTGGTGCAGTTCTTCTCAGATAAATTTCCGATCATCTCTCCTTGGATGTCATTTTTAAGTGTTTCTTTAGATGAAAACACGATATTTTGAGAATTCCTATTTTCTTTCTTCCACATTACGACTGGGTCTTTCAGATA